TCCGGTATACCGGAACGTATAACGGTTTGGCAGGTTTTTTTCAGCTACGAACACTCCCCGGGTATAAGAGATGGCCCTGTGAAAATTGCATCCAGATCGCTTGGGCGGTTTGGCCGCCTATAGGAAAGATACATACATACATACGAACTCAAATATATATTAGATGAAAAAAAGAATTTTGTAGGACTTTAATAGGATGAAATCAAGGATTTTCTGTGGATATTTCTGTAAGAGCTTTAGTCTTCTCGCTCACGCGACCGTTATGACCGGACACATTAGTGTGCTGTAGAAGCTTAATTTCTTGGTGTAAGAAGTTTGTGTGGCTGTGCCCTAAAGTGGTTGCTTGTGTGCTGGGTGAAGTCAAGAAGGCATGCACTTCCCTGCAGAATGCAAGACGGAGCAAGTGCTAATTTTCTCACCATGTATTTCTAAGTCTATACCGCACACCGTATAGCTGAACGCTGTGCACACCTTTCCCCACAAGGTTATCATAGGCTGGTAGATCGAGTGAGAAATGGAGGAAAGACAGATCAGGAGAGATAGACAGCAGTGAGATAAGAACGTGATAGGATCAGCCAGGTGAAGGGAAAGAGGAGAGAGATAAGGATGAGATGTTAACGTAACAGCGATACTGTAACATAGTATTAGGATAGATGCATGCGACTCATTTGAGCTATTTCTGGAGAAATGTTGTTAAAACAGAGAGTGAAGTAATTTAATCCCTGCTCAACCGCCAGGGGTGATATACCCGTCCCCACTAGGTGGCACCCAAGATTCCACCCAAAAGTGCACAATTCACTTGCTTATCCACCTTACTAGTGGTCGCAAGCTGGACTAGACTTGCACATAGTTAAAGGGGTGAATAGTGACCGTGCAGGGTTCTCCCTACGTTGCGCAAACAGGTCGCGCCCGCCCCGTTTGGGGAAACTCCCCCCTGTTTCAATCGTTGCGCCCCGTTTAAATTACCTCCGCCCCGATTAAATTCCACCACAATAAAAGTTTGACAGCGCGGGAACAGATCGTCAAGAACTCCCATTCGACCAGGACCAAGGACGCGTATTTTTACCGTACAACGTATGCACTGCAGACCACACACAAGTACAAACAGTCAACCTGTACCAAACCCAACACTAACTGTACACCGACTCGACTATCTTATATATACAAGAACCCCAAATACCGTCTACACAGCTTCCCCATCCTTCACACAGCTTCCTCATCCTCCACACAGCTTCCTCATCCTTTCCACTGCTTCCTCATTCTCCACAGCCTCGCAATCCTTCCCACAGCTTCCTCATCCTCCACACAGATTCCTCATTGTCCACACAGCTTCCTCATCCTCCACACAGCTTCCTCATCCTTCCCACAGCTTCCTCATCCTCCACACAGCTTCCCCTTCCTTCCCACAGCTTCCTCATCCTCTCCACAGCCTCGCAATCCTTCCCACAGCTTCCTCATCCTCCACACAGATTCCTCATTGTCCACACAGCTTCCTCAACCTTCACACAGCTTCCTCATCCTTCCCACAGCTTCCTCATCCTCTACACAGCTTCCTCATCCTTCACACAGCCTCCCCATCCTTCCCACAGCTTCCTCATCCTCCCCACAGCCTCGCCATCCTCCACACAGCTTCCTCATCCTCCCCACAGCCTCGCCATCCTTCCCACAGCTTCCCCATCCTCCACACAGCTTCCCCATCCTCCACACAGCTTCCTCATCCTCCACACAGCCTCGCCATCCTTCCCACAGCTTCCTCATCCTCTACACAGCCTCGCCATCCTTCCCACAGCTTCCTCATCCTCCACACAGATTCCCCATCCTTCACACAGC